TTCCTGATGCCCACCCAACCCCCACACACACCAAAGGTACCGTTTGATCCATGTTTGTGGTAACCTCAGCCTCAGACTGGACACCCAGCAGATGAGTGGACCACTGCATTTTGGTCTATTCAGACACGCAGGCTTTAAAATGTGTGAATGGCACACGACATGAATGAATCCCTGAAGCAGTGAGCGAGTGGCAGACCCAGGATGAGCATGTATGAGTCCCTCCCTGTCTATCTTTGCCTCACAACAGGCTGACAGGCAGTGTCCATGGTTGTGGAGGTCATCTGGGGCTGAGGGGTGGTGGTGGAAAGGAAGGAGGGATTTTTATAAGAATCAGATTCACATGGGTTCACAACATATAAAAAAAATTAAACTTGTGGTTGGAATTTACAAGGTGTGTAAATCTCATCTCCATTAACAAAACAGACTGCTTATGTTTCTACTGAAATGATGAATTAATATTTAAATACTCACTGAAGAATTCATATTTGCATGACAGTCTATAAAACTCTTGCCAAATGTAGTTGTTCCAAGCCACCCTTATCTGATGGGAGATGGGGATTAATCTGGTTTTATTCTAACTACTTTTTTGGATCAATTTTTTGTTTTCATTTATGCATACGTATATATATCTTTGTAATGAGTCTTTCTCTGTCCTGCCAGTCAGCTCCCAAATAATGACACAGAGACTCCTTATTAACTATGAAAGCTTGGTCTTAACTTAGGCTTGTTGCAAACTAGCTCTTATGACTTAAATTAATCCATTTCTATTAATCTACATGCTGCCACATGTCTCATGGCTTTTACCTCTCTTCCTGCATGTCCTTCTTCCTCTATGTCCAGCTGGCGACTCCTCCTTTCTTCTTTCCAGAGCTCTCTTTGTCCAGAAGTCCCACCTATACCTCCTGCCTAGATATTGGTCACTTAGTTTTATTAAGCCAAAGACATATCTTTACACAGTGAGATCAACATGTCTGTCTCTGCACATATATGTACCTGTGTGTGTATATATGTCTCTGTGTGTTTGTAGGAGTGTCTCTCTGTGTATGTGAGCTTGTCAGTGTGTGTCCATGTATGTATGTATATCACCTCTGTATGTGAGTGTGTCTTTGTGTGTACATGTCATCTGTATCTGTGTCTCTGTGTATGTATGTGTGTGTGTATGTGTGTGTGCATCTGTTTATGGGTTGTGTGTATGTGTCTATGTGTGCATCTGTGTGTATCTGTATTGTGTGTGTGCCACATGAGTGTCAGTGCTTTGTGGAAGCCAGAAGAAGTCACTGGATTCCTTGGAGCTGGATTTTCAGACAGTTGGGGAGTCTTTGAACTGAAATTGGGTCATCTGGAAGAGCACCAACCACTCTTGACCATGGAACCACTTCCTCAGCCCTTACTTTCTTATTATTTTAGGTTCTGGATATCATTTTATACTCTCCCTCTTTCCATTCCTGAGATTTGACTCCTTGGTACCAGCACTGGCTAGTTTTATGTCAATGTGATCCAAGCTAGAGTTATCTGAAAGGAGGGAGCCTCAATTGAGAAAATGTCTCTGTAAGATCTGACTGTAGGGCATTTTTAAAATTAGTGATCAATGTGGGAGGGCCCAGCCCATTGTGGTTGGTGCCATCTCTGGGCACGTGGTCCTGGGTTCTGTAAGAAAGCAGGCTGAGAAAAACCATGAAAAGCAAGCCAGTAAACAGCACTCCACAGTGGACTCTGCATCAGCCTCTGTCTCCAGGTTCCTGCCCTGCTTGAGTTCCTGCCCTGACTTCTCTCAGTGATGGACTGTGTAAACTGGAATAAACCCTGGAAGTGTAAACTGGAATAAAGCCTTTCTCCCCAACTTGCTGTTTGGTTATGATGTTTCATTCAGCGACAGAAACTCTAAGATAGGACCTTTGCTATTTTGCCATTGATTTCTCTCTTCCTGTCATTGTGAAGAGCTCCTTCATAGTTGATACTGTCATGCCTTTGATATCCACAGAAGTTAAAGCTCTGCTCCTCTTGGATTTTGTATTTCATTAAAATGTCGAGAATTATAGGTGACTGAGTAAAGCTGGGCAAGGGAGAGGTAGTCTTCCCGGGGAAGAACACATCAGATTGTTATTCAGCACCAATCATCCCCCAAAATGCAATGCAGGTAACATTGTATGTACCAAATGGGTAATATTTATGAATATATCTGTACACAAAATATTAATTAGAGAAAAAGAGGCCATCAGTTTGAAGAAGAGCAGGTAGGGGCATGTGGGAGGGCTTAGAGTGAGGAAAGGGAAGGGAAAATGTTGTGGTTAAGTTATAATCTCAAAAAAGTATTTGAACTTTTGATTTTTGAAATCTTGACTTTTTTTTTTTCAAATGGGCTATGATTTTTTTTGTTTGACTAGAAACGTTTATTTCCAAGAACTTGAAATTTAAAAACATCTGTGTTTTTCTTTTATCTATTGGATCTTCCAGTGCTATTTTTATTTATCTGAAATGTAAACTTTTATCCACATGAGGTCATGTTTATTAAACAGAAAGCGAGTTTATCAAAACCCCTGTTCTTTTCTTTTAGTTACTTACTTGAAATCAACCCGCTTCATATTAAATATTCCCAAGTATTTGCAATCTTACTTTTTCTCTTTTTCAAATTATACTCATGAGTTTGAGAAAAAAATACCTCTTAATTTGGAAATAATTTCAGATTTACAGAAAAAAAAAATGCCGAGATCATGCTGAGTGCCAAACACCTTCTCCAGCTTCCCCAATGCTCAGCTCTTATGCCACCGTGTTTGTGATGTGTGGCCTAGGTTGACAAGTCCCTCCTTCCAGGCAGGATGTGAACTCAGAATCCCGATCTATCTATTTAGGTGACCACAGGCTCCTTTCTAAACACTTAGCTCAGGGCATCATGTGCTCAACCTTCCTGAAGTTCAGACTATGATGGCTCTGGTGGACCATCATTTAACCCATTGTTTGCTGGGCTGTCACAGTGAATATCACTAACTGTGACTTCTGCACATACTTTCCTTATATTAGCCCTGAAACAGACAGGGGGCTTCTTTTCCACTGGATCTTGAAGCACAGTGTTCCAAATCCAGTTCTCTGTCGTAAAGCCCGAGTGAGGACCAATGCCTGCTGGGCTTGTCTTCCAGGGACACATTCAGTTACTTATTTCCTCCCCTGTCTTTTCTT